ATAAATTTGAGTCATTAAGTGCTCAATGTACTTCTATCTTCTTAAGTTCTCTCTTTTATTACACCAAACTTGGTATGATAAATCTCTATGCTCTTTAACTAATGCAACAATGTAGTCTTCTTATTCATTCAACTTTTATCTTAACCTGCTTAAGTAGCTATTCAACATGTTATTCTTTATCTGTATTTGGGCACTTTCTTCTTCTAGTTCAACATATTCTTGCTTTAATCGCGTATTTTCTCCAATAAGCTCAATAATTGTTATCTCTTTGGCTTGTACCTTCACATATAACATCTTATGTTCATGGTGTAATTTCGATAAGTCTTGGACAACTGTGTCACATTCTCTAACAATCTTGCAAACTTTGACTTCATGCTTTTTAGCTCTATCTTTCCATTTATCCTTATTCTCTCAAAGCTTCTGAATCTCTTGCTTTAACCTTTCTTTTTTGGCATCGAATTCTTTCCTTGCAAGTTCTAATTCTGATGGTGTTTCTTCGGGCATTTTCTCTGTTGGCGGTTGAAAGCTTTTATAAGTGAATATCATTTTTAATCTTCGTCTAGCTCTCCAAACTAAGTACCCCTGAGTGACTTTGTTAGTGAACGGTCTAGCTCTCAATGCCTTAATCACCTCATTCATCATCTGAAATACTTTTGACTCACTATAAAAAAAATCTGATTGACGAAGCTTATGTGTCATGGGAATGAATTGTTCTACCCTAAACTATCTCCTCACTAGAAGTAAAGCATAACTTGTTGCTCTTCATAAACCTAAAAGTGGGACCATAGTGTTATCTCTACACTGATATAGCATAGGTTCACGATTCATCCACGGAACCAACCACCTTACTTCGGCACTTATCAGTTTTTGTAAGAAAGCTACCCATTCTTTTTTAAACTTTTCTTCTGACCATCCACTTTCGTAGAATTTCTTAATCAAAGCTCGATTATGGACATAAAGCTTCGAGAAAGCACATTTTCTCCATTCGAAGTGGTTTTTCATCTATAAGTACAATAACTGTATGTAGCCTATAAAACGTCTTCCATTATGGTGACAGTAACTTAAAGATCTGACAGTCTCTGCTAATATTACCATTGAAAGATTACAGCCATTGATTACACTTTCAAAAAAGTCGCTATTTCAATATAACCCAGAACCTTCAGAAATATCACCATTTCGTATATAGCTAAGGTAAATATGTCTAACACATGTTTTTCATCGGCTTATTGTACTAAAAAATCATGAAAGAACTTTCAAAGTAGGTAAACTTGTTCTTGTTTCTTCTTTATATGAAATCCATAATCTCCCTGTCTATCCCTATGAGATGGGCTAAATCTTTACGAAATCTTAACTAGTATTTTTTTACATATATCTTGTCAGGAACCTTGATATGCAGGCCTAACAAAGTCGAATATTCTTTGATGGTCGGTGTCATGTCAACCTTATTAAAGATGAAATATTTGTATACAAGATCTCAAAATTACACTGCAGCTTTAATTAATTGATTGTCAACTTTTACTATAAGAAGGTGTGCTATGTGCCCATGCCTCTGGCAAAACTCCTCTTGTCTTGATGGACTAATATTCTTCTATATATAAACTTAATCCTCTAGATTATTTTGTTTGAGAAGGATAGATGTCTCATGAGACAAGGTAGAAGCATATCCGATTGGTAAACAGTCACCCATTTTTAGTTGAATCTTTTTTGACTAGATCTTTACTTCATTGGGTGACTCACAAGGGGTTAATACAGATGAAGAGTAAACTAATCGTTCTTTGGAGTCCATGAAAAACTTATTGTTGAAGATCATTTTTTCAGGTAAATATTCTTTATGCAACTTTACGATACGAGTATGAATCATGCAAACATGAATAAGAGAAGAGGTTAGTATATCAAATAAACAAAAATAAACAAATAAATACCTAAATAAATTAAAATGTCACACATAATAAAATTGAATCCTATGTTTTTAGTCAATTCTAAAGGGAAGGTAATGACTCTATCTATAGGTTAGGCATTTCTAAGGTTCACTATATGTGGTTTGAGGTTAAAGTCTAAAGGTTCCCAAATTGCTCTTTACATCATCGTCTATTATAGACTAGTAAGGTATATCAATCCTCACTCATTACAGGCTACAAGTGAAAAAAGTTCAATTTGAGTGAGAGTATTTTGCTAGCCACTGCAAAGGTATTAAAACCTCACGAAAGCAATAGGAACTTTACTCCCTCATAGAGGGACAGAGCTCGGGTTTAGAGCTCATGTTATGCACATGCATATGAATGGCATAATTAACTAAGTAAATAAATATAAATGAATAAAAAATCTATACAAATGGTTCAATTTTATTAGGCTTTTGGATAACACAAATTTATTTGTTGGCCTGACTCTCGGTTGTTCCCCAATGGAGTCGTCAAACTGTCATAACGTCTAGATCCAATTACTTATCGCTAGACATTGACTAAGGAGTCGTCACCAATCTTTTTTGTTTAGGTCCGATTGGCCACCTTATGAATTTATCTCTTTAAGGAGTTCCTAAGTTTGACAAAAGAACTCTAAAAGAATAGGTTCGGGTTTACAAACTAGAACATGGTTCGAAAGTACAGGTTACAGTGTGAGGAAAGGTTATAACACCTCACAACACCCATCAAAAAATAATACCAGCTCAATTTCGTGTTATCTGATAAGCCTTAAAATTTTATCAAGTAATTAATTATTGAAAACTATTCTTAATTAACTCCAATACTTTTGACAAAAAATTAAAAAAAATCTCTTCACCTAAAGAGTATACAAGAAAACTACTGTTTCACTTGCAGAAACTCCATCGTTGGATTATTTGACAAAAAAAATTACAAAAAAGAAAGAAAAAAATAAAATAAAATAATAAAAAATAATGATTCACCTTTTGATATAAATCATTTTCTTTTCATTAAAAAAACTTATTGCTTTTGCACAAGAAAAATTGATACTTTCAACTTTTTCTTAAAACAATTAAAATTTTTATTTTAAATATTTTATTTTTAAAGAAAATTGATACTTTCAACTTTTTCCTAAAAATATTATTTTTAAACTTTTTATTTTCAGAAAAATTAATACTTTCAACTTTCTCCTCCCAAAATATTTTTGGAAATTTTTATTTTAGAAACTTTATTTTTTAAAAAAACTGATACTTTCAATTTTTTTCTCAAAAATATTTTAAAACTTTTTTATTTTCAGGGAAATTGATACTTTCAACTTTTCCTTAAAAATATTTTTAAAAAATTATTTTCAAGGAAAATTGATACTTTCAACTTTTACTCAAAAATATATTTTTTAGAATTTTTATTTTAGGAAAATTATTTAAAAAATGAAATAAAATAAAAATAAAAATTAAGGAATACCAAATAATTTTAATTTAGAAATAATTATAATAATAATAATAATAAAAACCTTGAGACGGCTTGGCTCAGCGATTGGAATCGACTTGGCTCCAAAAAGAAAAATGGCTCGAAAATGTAACTCAGCTCTAGGGGTGGGCTAGCACTCGGGTCAAACGCGGGTAAAAAGCGGCCTGACACTCGGGTCAAGTTGAATTTTGGCAAAAGTACAGATCCTGTTTAAGCTTTGATGCAAAACGACATCGTTTAGCTTGCGTATAAAAGGGAAAATTTTCTTATTTCCTCAGATGTTTCCCCTAACTCTCTCTCTCCCTTCTCTTCTCCTTCTCTCTCTAGGCAATTTTCGGTCATCATTTCTGGTTGAATATCGTCGGGAAAGTAATCGATTTCTGGGTATATCGTCGAAAACTGGGTTTTCTCATCGAACGGTCACTGAAAAACTTGAATTTTCGTCAAAAAATTCACCAGATTCTATAAATTTCCAAAAATTTTCTAGAAAAATACAGCAAAAATTTTGAAAAAAAGTTTTAAATTTCCTAAAATTGCTAAACACTATTTTCTTACTTCTGTTTTCTCCTTCTTTTTTTTCTGTGTTCCTTCTTGCATATTTCAACATCTATTTATAGAGATTGATTAGAAGAGTTTTTAATCAATCTCAATTCCATCTGGGATTGAGATTCAAACTTTGAATCCAATCTTAACTCTACTAGCCCCCAAATTCACGTTCAAATTCATTTGCATAACTTTTTTTATTATTTTTAATTAATCTAATATTATCTCTTAATTAATCAAAAAAAGATAAAATCAATCAATAATAATAATAATAATAATAATAATAATAATAATAATAAATAAACGAAAAAATAAAAAATAAAAAAATGAGTCCATCTTGCCCATTTACACTGGGCCTAATTGATCCAAGTCCGGATCAAATTAAGTGTTTACATATACTATTTAAATTAAAAATTAAAAATAATTTTGTAAATTTTTAATATTTGACTAAAATACTTTCATTTTTTTTCTCCCTCAATCTTTTCAATTTGAATTGATTTGTTTTTGTGAACAAATATGAAAAATAATGTCTTCAACTCTCTGATCTAATGGTTAAAAAACTTTTAAAAGGATATAAAGGTTTTAGTTTCGAATGACATTAAATTTGATTGAATAAATTTTAAAAAATTATTAGAATTATTTATTTTTTAAACATTTATTTTTTTGGAAAAAAATTATTTATAAATTTTTAACATGTCTTAACATATGTTATTATTTTTTAATTTTAAAAATATAATTTGATATTTTTTATAAATTATTTTAATGATAAATTTTCAAACAAAAACATTTAAGTAAACAAAAAAAATAAATAAAGAAAAGACAAGAGCAAAAGAAAAAATATTTTGCATAAATTTCATATTTTTATTATGAGTACTTTAAACATTAGATTCATTATAATTAACTAATTATAGCGCATTTAAAGAAAAAAATAGCAAAAAATTATGTCTCTAATAGACCCTTAAATCTGAGTCCGTCCAAAAGTAATTGGGCCATAAAAGATGATTTTGGGTTGAATTGTTTTTTTGTATTTTTTATTTTATTTTTAGCCCAAAAGGCCGAAACCCATCTCTTAAAAGGAAGCCAATCTCTATGTCGGAACTGGAATCAGTGTACTTGCATCGGCCAACTAACCGGAGAGACAACGAAGCCGAAAAACATGGGCGGAAAAAGAAAGAAGATCGAAAACGAAGAGATGGAGGGAGATAACGGTAGCAAAAACAGTAATAAAAAGATGAAGGAGAAGAGCGTGATACTTCCTTCCTTCATAAAGAACAAGGAGAAGAGATCAGCAGTGCACGCCAAACTTAAGCACCAAAAGAAGCTCGAGAAACGCAAGAAGCTTAAAACTCGCGACGCCACTAAAAAACGCGCTCTCGAACTCGGAGAAGAGGTCTTCCCCTATTTCCTTTCTTTGTTTTTTTTTTTTTCAATTTTTAACGGATCAAACGGTTGCTGAAAATTAAAGAAAAAATTTTGCAGCCTCCACCGAAGCAAATCCCTCGCACTATTGAAAACACAAGAGAGGCCGACGAGACTGTTTGCATGCCTGATGATGAAGAGGTAAATTTATTGGCTTATTTTCTTGGAAAATTCGTTTTCTTTCTATATATTTTTGAAATCTGAATAGAAAATTATAGTTTTTTTTTATTATTATTTCAGTTGTTTGCTGGTAATGACGCAGACGAATTTCGTTCGATTCTAAAGCGTGATTGCACTCGACAGATATTAATCACGACTTACCGTTTCCATTCTACTGTATGCTCTTTTTTATCTTACTCATTTCTCATTAATGATTAAACTATGCATAAAAATGCATGCACCATTTCCATTTCTCTTTTTTTTTACCTACATTTAGATGAGTTTTGTCTTACTATATATTCTGATATCTTTTTGTTTATTGGATAACTATGTTTTCTTCAGAGGGACCTGCTTTTATCTCCGAATTGCTTTCGATGATCGCCAATGCCCATTACTGTAAGAGAGGAACATATGACTTGAAAAAGGTGCTTCTTATGATATTTTTCTTGAATTGTTCTGTTATTAGACAATATAAAACAATTAGGGTTAGTAAGTAGCATTTAGAAGTATCTTTTTGAAGATAATGTATTCATATTACTTCAGATTGTGGAATATGCGAGTAAAAAAGAGTTCGTGTCAATTATAGTAGTTCACACCAACCGAAGAGAACCGGGTTTGTGATATGAATTTCTACGCAATTCTTTATTTTGACTCTGCTCTTGGACTTTATTTTTTTTGTGGCTCTAGTGTGCATTCTTTATGAGAATTAAAGCTTACTAGTAGGTTCGGCTATCATGTAGATGCTCCTCTAGTCATTGGATTGCCTGATGGGCCTACGGCCCATTTCAAGCTTTTGAGTCTAGTTTTGAGAAGGGATATTAAGGTAAAAAAATTGATTCTTTCTACTTTTTGTGTGGTTTTCTGTTTTACTGATTTGGATTGGGCCTAAATTTCATGTCTAAATGTTGGATTTCTACAAAGGAGTTCTTAATATAATCATTTTAATTGCCTATATTTTTGTTCTTGTAGAATCACGGAAATCCTACCAGTCATAAGCCTGAGCTAGTGTTAAAGAACTTCATGAATCGCCTGGGCATCGTATTGGGAGGTTGTGTACTGTTCTCTATCTTTTAGTCTATTGCTGAATTTTTAGATTCTGCCACAAATTGCACATCCCCCTCACTTTTCTAAATGTTTATACTGGAAGTCTGGAACTACAAGCTTGTTCTTCTGTAAAAATGTGTGTGTTAGCCTTCCAATCTTATGATCTCCTCTGTAGGCTTTTCTGTCCGAGAGTTTCTCTTTTTGTTGTTGGTCTGTACTGTCTAGGCTAATTCAATCACATTTTCCCCAAGATCTTAGTTTTCAAGGTTGACGAGTTGTAACCTTTCACAATCAACCAGATTTTATATTCTTCCGACATCATAGGTGTGCCTCAGTGGCCTCTGAATCTACTGCAAGTTAAGTAATTGATGATTGTATGAATTTCTTTTTTTTTTACATGTGTATTCATGCAATCCGGTATATATTTGAAACCAAGGAGAGTGAACAGAGTGACTCAAAAGGTAAAAAGGGAAAGGATGCTAAGGGTGACAGCATCACTAAAGAAAAAGTAGTTGCTCATCTTCAGGTTTGTTTCCCTTCCTCTTTCTGTTATTACAATTGTATTTAGAGGTTCTGAAAATCATTTTGCTAGTTCTGGATTTTGGAAACCCTTTTACCTTTTTCTGAGGAGTATTGTCAATCATTTGAGTTAACTTCTTCTCTAGAAGTGTCTTTGCTGCCCTTAGTCATATGGTTTTGTCCTGTTGATAGTCTGGCATTTGCACTCATAAACTGTTTATACCAGCAAAATATGTTATGGTTAACAGTTTTGTCAAAACATGCAGGTGTGGTCCTCGGTTTTCATTAAAGTTAATAAGTCTACTGCATGGGACATTTGATACCAAAGGGGGTGAGTATGAGTGGGTTCACAAGGTAACTACTTGTCACCAAATTTTCTATTTTATATTAAATTTTTGGTGTTTTTCCTCCTACTAAACTATCTCTATCAGTCTCATTACTCACATCTATTCTTCCCCATTTTTGAATGTCAGCCTGAAATGGACACCAGCCGTAGGAGGTTTTTCTTGTAACTTTGATTGATGCTTTCATTTGCTTTCTCAAATGCAACAATTTTCTATCAAAGAGGGAGAGTATCAACAAGGAGAAAATGAAGTCGATATTTTTATATTCTCCCTTCTGCTGACATCCTTACTGTTGTTTTGAGCTTTGTTAAATTTATATGATCAGTTTTGGCCGATTGCATGACAGATGTGGGAAAAAATTAGATTGTTGTCCCATAGAAAATTAATAATCATGATAATCTGTTTCCATGTTCTCAATACCTGGAGACCCTTTTATGTTTGTTCTCATTGTCGAGTCTTCTGCCAAAATAGCTGGATAAACATAAGCATGGAAGTCCATGATAGATACAGAACAGCTTTTCCTCCAATTCCCTCATTTTCCTTTTTAATTAAAAGGATCAATGTTATGTATAGTCTTTTAATTATAATGAAATGTTTAATGTAATATTTAAATCATGAATTTATTAATTAATATAATATTTGAAAAATTGTTTGTTTGATATGTATAATTTTTTAAAGTTAGTTGCATTAAAAATGAGTAATTCATTAGTTTTAGCTATTATATTCGGGATTTTTAAAATTTGTGTAATATATTAAATATTTTAATTTTATTATAATTTAAGGGTTATTTATGATGTTATTAAATTTAAAAAAATAGAAAAAAAAAAGGGTTAAGACACCTTTGAATCATTTACAATAGAGGATGCGGGGCAAAACAATCAACTAATTCGTTCTACAGTAACGCAGTGATGCGAATTCAACGGTACTTTCGGCTTCCCTAGACAACCTTTATGGAATCTTCCAGCGAACCTTCAACCGTCAAACTTGCGGCAGCTACTTTATAGTTAATAGAACAACAATTAATTTACTCGACAGTTAATGGAAAGCCCATATTCATCTGGTTACCGTCCTCGTATCCTCCTCTACAAGGCAATCACTTCAAAATCATCAGTGCTAGTGCTTAATTCGTGTGCAAACTTCTAATATCCATGAATGCAAATCAATACTAGTTTGCCTCCAAAAGCAGCAGCTTGAAGCAGTGATTGTCCCGGCGTAGAGTTTGCTACGAGATAAATGCAATCTTTGGTGATCAAGATCCAGGCAATGTGGACTTGATAGATAAGAATTTCCCAAATAATCCTTAAACACACAGCTCCGGTAACTGAAAAATGTAGTGACTAACAATCCCCTAAAGACAGACTCAAGATATTCACTCACCAGAAAATGTTGACGATGCTAGAGCACCAATACCTGCATAGTAAGGAAGGAAAATAGAGTCCAGGTATACGCTTGCATGCAAAATCCCTGAAATGGTTGAAGCTTCCAAGAATGCGTACCTAGTGTTGCCAGGTATGAAGCAGTTATAAGGAGAGGAACTAGAACATCCATAGCCGGCGGATAATTCCCAGGATAAATGCCGTCGCAAAAGTAATGAAAAGGGCAGTTGATTGGATACAGAGTTTCTTCTACTTTCCATCTAGTGTATTTGAAGAATGCCATGCAGATATCTTCCAGGTTCCATTCTGGTTGAAATGCTGCAACTTTTGGATGCAGAATTTGGCTCTCCATTCTGTTGTTTGTATTCCATTTTTCTCATGCAAATAGGCCTTTATTTTTTATGTAAAACCAAAAGGCAGTCGCTGTCTTAATTTCACCTTCTGTCTGTTGAGATGCTTTAAGGTTGGTGAAATGGATGATGAAGTTCTATCTATTGTTTATACCCTTTTTTCCTGGTGAATCATTCTTGTAACATAGAAGAAAGAAGCAGTGATATTTGAATCGTTTGGAAATAATATCAGTTTTGAAAAGGTTGCATGTGTATATATATGTTAATACAGGGTCGGGAGTAATTTGGATAGTTTTGGTGCGGTAAGGTATATTCAACGCAAGGGATGAAAGAGTTTGAAGGAACTTGGTTCTGAATAAATGCTGTTCGGTGAGTGACATATTGCTACTGATTTGATGACCAATTAAAAATCCGCTGCTCAAAACTTTAAACATATATTGATTCTTGAGTTTAAGGTTTTTATAAGGTGGTGTTTCAGTGCCATGTGGTACTCTTAGGTTTGGTTTTTGGGGTTTTGATTTACTTTATGTTTTTGAGTTATGAGGATTTATTTTTAGGCCATCTTTTCTAGAAGTTTGGGATATCAAAAAAATGTTTAATTTATAATTTTTTATTAGGTCTAATAGAAGATGGGCTACTGTATGTTTGGGCCGAATAGGTTTGGTTCAAACTTGAGTGCTTGTTCCAAATCACGACCAAGCCCAATTCAAGAGGGTTTTAATTGACCAGTTGTATACCAAGAGAACACTAACAAATCCCATCTGAATTGCATCAATCATTTCTCCATTAACTTCCTATAAATAAAAAATCTCGACCATATGAGTTAACACGTTGTTCACCCTCCATCCAACTCTGTCCACAGGCCAAGGCCGAGGCGAAGGCTTACGTCTAACTTTAATAAAGCCACCCTTTTCAAAGCCTTCATTTTCTGCTTACCTCAATAACAACAACAATCGAAGTGGCAACTGCCAAGAAGTCTGAAATGGTATGTGGAAATTTGGAATCTTTGTCTTGTTTGAGACTCTGGGTTTTGTTTCTCTTTCAATTTACTGTCTTGTGATGCCGTTTTTCTTTTTTTCTTTTAAATTTTTGTTTTGTTATGGAAGGTGATGTTGACTGGATTTTATAATGACCCTGATATTGCTAATGTGGATTCAAGTGAAAATGAGTCTGTTACTTTTGAAGGGACGATTTTGAGGACTAAAAGTGGTTTTGTTTCTTCAACAATGGGGGAGTGCTGCGTTTCTTGTACTACCTTCAACATCCTGGCTCCTATCTACAGGCGATTGGACCAGTAGGTGATTTCTTCTTTCTCTTCCTTTTTATATTGCTACTCTTTCTCTCTTGCTTTGTTGACGTCTTTAACTTTGTAAATTTTACGAATTTCATTGTTTTTTTGGGTGATGATTGAACAGAACCAGAGCGTACGAGAAAGTGATTGTAAGGCATTTGGTTAGCTAGAAATGAGAGGATTGTAGATTGGTTGCTTTATGAAAGGCCTTCCATTATCTGTCTCCAGGTGCGTTTCATGTGTCCTTTTCTTCTATTGCATTCTCTCTCTCATCAGTTTTACTTTCGAATTTTTAAAGAAATGACTCTTTCCTTCCATTAAGAGCCTTAATATCACCTCCGATGACATTAGCCTTTTTTTTAATGTGTATTTGTTTTGTTCAATTATTAGGAATTTTGGGTTGGAAATGAAGAATTGGTGCATATGTAAGAAGAAATGTTTGGTACTGCAGGCTATGATACCTTCAAGCTTGCAAGAACCAACAATCGAGGAGATGGTACACACTCTTTAACTGATTTGTTCTCAAACCGGAGACAAATTTTAAGATTTTGTTTATAAATGGGTTAGACCGTAGAGAGGGATGTTCTTATATGCTCTCCTGAGTACAAGTAAATTAACCTTAAATCAAGTCAAAATCATTAAAGAATTTGAGAGCTTGATGCAAAAGTTTGTAATATTAGATGTACTTTGATGCAGTGGGGTGCTCTTCAGTTTGGCGGTTCATGCCTAACTCGTCCTCTTTCATTATGCTAGTCTACCATTTGGCTTGGCTCCTAGAGAATAGGGTAAACAGAAGAATGATCATTTTCTCACTTTTTGGGGGTTGAACTGGTTCCTTTATAATTCACACATTTTCCCCAGTTACAGGGTAAGAGGATGGTCATATCTTTTAGGCTGTTTACAGTCCTTTTAATATGTGTAGACCATCCTGCAAGATTTAAATTTAATTAGTTTACTTCCACAGGTTTGCTGACTGCTATACACAAGGAGTACTTCAGGTTTTAAATCATAGAGAGTTGCTTTTCAATGACTTTGGAGACCGTGTTGCTCAAATGTTACATGTTCAATCAGTTATACCTTTCTCAATAAATCAGAATGAGAGTGTTGAACAAGAAATTATTATTGTGAACACCCACCTTTTATTTCTTCATGATTCCAGTTTATCCATTGTAAAACTGCACCAGGTAGATATTATCTTCTTTTGAAATATGTCCATGTCTGACTCTGGTTTCTGCTTCAGTTCTTTTCTAAGTGAACAGACTATACTTATCTCTAGCTTTGATATTCTTCTGTTAGGTTTACCAAATACTAAAATATCTGGAAACATATCAGAGAGAAAACAACTAAGTCAGATGCCTGTTATACTTTGGGAGTAAGCATTTTCTTTGGTTTTATTGTTTGATGATCTCCTCAACAAAGGGCATTCTAATTTATTTTGTTTTCTTTGGCCTCATTTTATTTTGTTTTTTTAATGTTTTTGATTTTGCAGTGACTGGAATGGAATCTACAATTTCCTGAGGTCCCAGATACTGCTCATGAGTATACAGACCGTGATGCAGGTGCTCACGAGGTAAATATATTCAATTTCAGATATTAGCATCTCTTTGTCAATATACCACTATATTGTTGGAGTCTGCAATGCTTACCGATTAAATATGTTGGCTTTACTCCTAATACATCCTACAGTGGGTTAGCCATCAAAATCATGGGGGAAGCATCTGTGGTGTTGATTTCATATGTCTTTGTAATCCTAATAAGTCAGGAAAACCACTGAAGATAAGTGGGGCTGAAGCAGCACTTGGTATAATAAAGGTTAGTTCAGCATTTTTCATACTGAACTGTTAGTTATCATTCCAAATTGTCTTTCTAGCTCACATTATAGCTTATTTAGTTCTTATGTCAGTATTCAAATTTTTACTTCCTCTCTCTTTAGAGCATGCCATTAGACATTTACATCAAGGCAAGCCATATCTGATGCTTGGCTCAATTTCTTATAACCTTATGCATTATAACTACTTGTCAAATCTGCTATCCATGCATCTCTTGTTGATGACATTGTCCAGTGACTGGTTCTTAAATCTTAATTTTGTAGTGATCTCTCTTATTCTTACCTTACACTTGTGTATCTTATGATAAGGAGCAAGATGGGGAAAATATGTTTAACCTTTTCTTTTGCAAATGAAGATCACCAATTATCATACTTCCACATCTAAAATTTACTTTCCATTTTCTTGGTTACAGCATCAACTTCAAAAAGGCTTTGTCGGCTGAAACGATGCCTGTGCCTTTCTAAGTGCTGAAAACAATGGCAACTATATAACTTATTCTGCTTTTTGTGTTGCACTTGAATAGGTAGTTTTCATTCATTTCCTTGATGTAATTAGTATAATGGTAGCGGTAAAATTCTCACCTTTTCTGAACCATATACAGGTGAATTAACTGGTCTTTCTCATTGATTAAGTTTCCAGGAGACAAAAGATCTCTGGGTCTAAGCAGACACTGATGAAAATGGTGTTCTAGACTATGAAGAATTTAAGGTGTATTGCATCCCTAATTTATGCCTTTGTTGTAAAGTTCTGTCATTTTACTAGTAGTAGGATGCCTTTGTGCTATGGCCCATATGTAACTTTAGTGCACCATTTTTAAAAATTTAGGTGATCTAACGGAAATATGAGGAAACACATGTGACATGTATGATAATATGAGAGGACACACGTATTATAAGTTGTGGCAACGTATCTGATGTAACCTTAGTCTCAAAAATAGCTTTATGTCAACATAGTATTTAAGCAACTTTTCTCCTGAAAACCAAATAGATGAAGGAAATTTAGAATTTCATTCTGTATGCATAGAGCATTGAACAGTTATCATCAGTCACTTGTCATGGTGGAAAACTTCATATCCTTAACCCCTTGTTTGTAGAAACGTTCAGTAATTGGTTGACATTGCCCCCGAGAATTTGGGACTCTAACTGGTCACAACAAATGGATGAAGACTGCAGCTTAGAGGGCTCAAATGGAGGCATTGTGGAAGAAGCTATCATTTTTGCAGTAAAGAATGCAGTTCTCTTCCCCCAAGTGGAGAGTGGGATATGGCCTGAAACCTACTCTCTTTCTGATCATGCCCGACTCACTGCAGTGTTCTCACCAGTGCGATTACGGTGTTCACAGCTAAGCTTGTAGAAAATTTGTTGATGGTACAAAAGAGAACACAACCTTTGTTACACATTTAGATAGAAAAAAATCTTTAAAGTTTAGGAAATACAATATTGTATAGTCCACGGAAAGTTGCTTACTCACATCTGTTTAACCATTTATGGCGAACAAGCACCCAGAGAGGAAAATGGAAAAGCCAAATTTGCTTAGGCAAGCAGATTTTTCAAACTATCTGGCTTTATCTGTATTTACAAGTTTCCAGCGTTTAAGCAGAAGAACCTATTCAAGAAAAAATCATAGCTTGGGCATGTCTGGATTGGAGCTAGCAGATGTATGTAACAAGGCAACTGGCGCTTTGGCACACATTGCAGCAGCCAAAAGCCGAGGGGCATAATGGAAAAGAGAGTCAAAACGATGGGGTCTCATCAATGCGACCTGAAATTTCTAGAATATACAGAAAATGAAACTTTTGACCTCAGACCAATAGTCTCATTCTGTCTTCACAGCCCGTATAATCACCATGTTTTTTATTTTTATTCAAACAAATTATTTAATA